ACAAAAAATTTGAATAATTTAAAAAAAAAAACACACAAAATGCAATTAATATCTTTTATTCCTTGTTTTATTATAATTAATTTACAATTATTATCTTTTATTTTTTTTTTATTTTAATATAATTAATTTCAGTATCTTTTTTGATGGGAAAAAAATGGAAAATTTTAACAAACTTATCAAATTATCAAATTTGATAAAAGAATGATTTATCTTTAAGTAATGAAAATAATAATAATTAAAGAAAAATATAATCATTTCAAATAAATTCATTTTTAATTTCCAATTTTCAATTTATTATAATTCATTAATAAAAAGCCTAATAATTAGTGGATATCATTTTTGATGATATATTTTAAAGGTGAAATTTTAAATTTAAAATTGATTAATGTTTTGCTATGTACCTTTCATCGTATTTGAAATTGTAAAGATTTATCAATCGTGACAATGAAAGGACAAATAAATTTGTCGATCATCTTTCAAATATAACCAAATAATTTAAATTTTGATCTATTTATTTAATCTTCGAAATTTTATTTATTGATTAATCGATTTATTTATTCTTCGAAATTTTATTTAATGATTGATCGATTTATTTATTCTTCGAAATTTTATTTATTGATTGATCGATTTATTTATTCTTAGAAATTTTATTTATTGATTGATCGATTTATTTATTCTTCGAAATTTTATTTATTGATTGATCGTTTTATTTAATCGTAGAAATTTGAATATAATTTAATATTTATTTTATTAACAATAATTTTAAGAGAATTTTATTTATTTATTATTGATCTATTTATTGTTTATTATTGATCTATTTTATATATTTATTTATTGTTTATTATTGATCTATTTTATTTATTATTTATTATTGATCTAATAATTATTGATCTATTTATTTAATCTTAGAAATTTGAATATAATTTAATGATAATTTTAAGAAGTTATTTTCATACGATTATATGATATGAGTAAATTTTTTAAATGTAATAATTATGCAAAAGAATTCAAATATAATTTTAATTTTCATTTCATTTCTAATTCTATCCTTTCAAAGGAATTCATTTCATTTAAAATAATTGTATTAATAATAATAATCAATTTATTACAAAATAATTTTTTCATCATTTTTTTTTCTAATTAATTATTATTATTAAAAACAAAAGAGAGTATCAAAAAAAATTTGACAGAGTACAACGAAGAAATGTTTCATAATTTGTTTACTAAATGTAAACATTATATTTGGTTTTGTTTACAAATTCAAACATATATAATATTTCAGGAGAATTGTTTAATTTCAGATTTTCAATTTATCCAAAAAACGCAATGATCTAAGCCGTTTGCATTCAGTTGTTGAACTTGGTTGGCCGGAAGAATTAGCACCACCACTTGATCGACTTTGTTCAATATGCAAATTAATAGAGAATTGGTTATCAGCAAATGCGCAAAATGTCGTTGTTATTCATTGTAGAGGTGGTTCTTCACGAGTTGCTATTGTCATCACTGCATATATGCATTATATTACCATATGTTCCACTAAGTTAGTTAGTTGTATATTTAAATTTTATTCAAATTAAATCAACAAGAGTGATAATTAATGTTTCGAAAAGATTTCATCACTAACATTTTAAAATATTACTTGCAATTAGTATTAGAATAGTAGTATTACTACAATTGTGTAATTTGAAATGAAATTATGAAAAATTATGAATTATGAAAAATTATTAAGTTATGAAAAATTAATTACTATATTACTATGATTGCTAATTACAAATTAGTACTTAATTACTATATTATTAGATTACTTTTATGATTGCTAGCTGCAAATTAGTACTTAATTACTATATTACTATGTTTGCTAATTACAAATTAGTACTTAATTACTATATTATTAGATTCCTTTATGATTGCTAACTGCAAGTTAATACTTAATTACTATATTATTATGATTGCCAATTACAAATTTGTACTTAATTACTATATTATTAGATTGTTTTTATGATTGCTAGTTACAAATTGGTATTTAATTACTATATCACTATGATTGCTAATTACAAATTGCTACTAAATTACCATATTACTCTGATTGCTAATTACAAATTAGTACCTAATTACTATGTTACTAGATTATTTTTATGATTGCTAACCACAAATTGGTACTTAATTACTATATTAGATTGTTTTTATGAATTGCAAATTACAAATTGGTACTTAATTAGCTACATTAGATTAATCAAAAAATGAAGCAACAAATATTTAATTGTATATGAAATGAAATTTTTTTTAAATTGAAATATTTTAATTTTTTAATTTTTAATGTATGAAATGAAATTTTTAATTCTTTTATTTTAGTGATGAAATAATTAAAAATCGTTCTGCTTTACAACAATTTAGTGAACATTATTTTGGATCAAATATACAACCATCACACAAACGGTTAATTGCAATTTTCCATCCTTTTCTTCTTTTATTATTTATTAATTAAAATAGATTAAAAATAGAAGAGAGAGAGAGAGAGAGAGAGAGAGCGAAAAAAAACAAAAGGTTTTTATATTATAAAAATAAGGAATATAATAAAAAACAAATTAAAAATAGGAGGGAGAGAGAGAGAGAGGGAGAGAAAGAAAAACAAAAGATTTTTATAATAATTATATTCCTTATTGATAACACATTTCACTAGTATTGTTTATTTTCATTTAAACATTTTCATTACATCAAATTTATCTCTCTTATCATTTATTCAAATTTAATGAATAAATTAAATTTCTTTCTGATAAATAAGCTAGCGATAGTGAAAGGGAAAATAATATTAAATTAAATTTTAATGAATAAATTGATAAAGAAAAATAAAAAATTGATAAATTTGATAAAAGAAAGATATTTATCAGAAAGCATTAATTAATTAATTAATCACTAATTGTTAAAATTTTATTATTTTACTCTTTTTTTTTTTATATCATTGAATTTAAGAAAATGATTTAATTGATATTTTTTAGTAGAAATTTTGAGGTAAGACATTTTAACATTTGATCGTTGAAATAGTTCAAGGACGCACGCATAAAAGTGTGTTTGCATTAGCTCTTAAAATTTATCACTTAGCGCGCTCTTCAAGGTCATCTTATCATTCTTAACTAAAATTTTTTGCATTGTTGTTAAGGTTGAACAATGAAGAAGGCAATTTCAAAAGTTGAGAAATACTACTATATCATTTTAACAAATAATTTCATTTAGTTAAAAAAAAGGTATTGAAACAAATTATGTATCATATACATATTAAATAATTAATTACCTTTTCTTTTATCATAATTAAATTGAATATAATTAATTAATTACTATTCATACATTTTAGAAATTTCTTTTTTAAATAAGCTTGAAACAAAACAATGTCAATTTTTATTTCAGAATAAAAATAATGCATTAAATTAAATATCATATGTATATATATATATATATATTAAGTACTTAATTATCTTTTTTTCTATCATAATTAAATTTGAATATAATTAATTAATTTCTTTTCATTCATTTTAGAAACTTTTTTTTAAGGAAGCTTAAAAAAGAATGACAATTTTTATTTTAGAATTAAAACAATAGAATTATAATGAAATTTGAACATTTCAAAGTTTTATAATTTATTTGTTAATAATTTAAAATTTTCAATTAATAGTTATGAAAAATTTACGAATTTTTTCATCCCAAATCTTTTTTCCTTTTCGTTATTTTTAATTATTTAAATATTTATAATTTTATTAATTAAAATTATCATTGAAATATCATTCATGCAATTTATGGATTAATGTTAATTAATTAATTAACCCAACCTTTGTGTTTTTCATTAAAGATATGCTAAATTAATTGATCATAAACTATTTATTAATCAATGATACACTTATTATTAAAATTTTTATAAGTAAAACAGTCATTAAAATGTGTATGAAGTTTAATAATAACATATGACATATGTAAAATAATTTACGTTCGAAATAATATTACGTAAGTTATATTTTATATACGTTAATAATATCCTAAAAATAATATGACGTAAGTTATACTTCGTATACGTTAGTAAATACGCTGGAAATAATTAATTATACTTTATACACGTTATTAATGTGCTAAAAATCTGATATAAGTTATACTTTATATATGCTAGTAAATACTCTAGAAATAATATAACGTATGTATACGTGATCAGTAAATTAGGCGTATGCATATGTGATCAGTAAATTAAACGCATGGGTACGTTATCAGTAGATTAGACGTATACGTACGTGATCAGTAAATTAGACGTATACATACGTGATCATAAATTAGACGTATGCATGCGTGATCAGTAAATTAGATGCATGCATACGTTATCAGTAAATTAGGCTATGCATACGTGATCAGTAAATTAGACGTATGCATACGTGGTCAGTAAATTAGATGTATGCATACGTGATCAGTAAATTAGATGTATGCATACGTGATCAGTAAATTAGATGTATGCATACGTAATCAGTATAGACGCATGCATATGTTATCAGTAAATTAGACGTATACATACGTGATCAGTAAATTAGTCGTATGCATACGTGATCAATAAATTAGATGTATAAAATTTATTTTATTATATATTTCAGATATGTAAAATATTTTTCATCACTTCTTTGTGGACGAACAAAAATTCAACCGGAAACCGTTTATTTGCATAATATTATTTTGACGAATTTTTTTGATCGAAATGTTTTATTTAAAATATACGAACGTATGCAACCGATTCATACAACATCACTTAAGTATGTTTCGTTTTCTTTATTCCTTTCTTTCTTTATATTTGCCTAATCTCCCAAAGTCATATTGAGATATACCGGGAAGAGATTTTTAGCGTGATAATGAGAGTAATGTAAAAAAAAAAAGGATGAATGTAATACTAAGCTTATTTAGTTTTAGATATGATTTTTATTCCTTTCTTAATACTTATCTCATCTCCCAAAGTCATATTGAGATATACCGGGAAGAGATTTTTAGCGATATAGCGAGAGTAATGTAAGAAAAAAGGATGAATGTAATACTAAGCTTATCTAGTTTTAGCATATGATTTTTCTTTTCTGTCTATAATATTCAACTTAAGTTTGTAAATATAGTTTGATTCAATTTATATTGTAACCAAAGATTGTATTAATTAAATTATTATCATAGCTGATAAAATAGTGATAACGTATAACAATGGTTGTAGCTAAAAGTAGTGATAAAACTTGATAAACTTTCATTTTTTGTTTACCAATATTTAAGTAAAGTTTATAATTTGATTTAATTTATGTTGTAAAAAAAAAAGATTGTATTAAATTTAATTATTAAGTATTAAATTAAATTATTTAATATTAAATTCAATTATTGAGTATTAAATTAAATTATTATCAAATGATAAAATAATGATAAAATATTTACAGGGTTGTAACAGAAAGTAATATATTTGAAATGAATGATTTACCGTTACGTGGTGATATTTTGGTGAAATGTTTTCAACGTACGAGTAATGCTGAACGTGTGCTATTTTTTCGATGCCAATTTAATACATGCACATTTGATTTATCAAATCATAATGAAAACATTTATAAATTACGATTTTATCGCGAAGAATTGGATAATATCTATAACGGTAAATAATTTAATGTTAAATTAATTAATTAATTTAGAATTATTTCAGTTAAAAAAAAGTATATATATATATATAATTTTCTACTAATTTAATATTTTGAATATAAATCTAAATTAATAAATATTAAGTTATTAAGTAACAACATTTATTAAATATTATTAATTTAATATTTATTTATTTAAGCTTATTTCAAATTATATTATTCCAACTTAAATATAAATTTTCTTCCAATTTAATTTAATTTAATATTTATTTAATTAAAATAAATATTAAGTTATTAAGTAACAACAATTATTAAATATTAATAATTTAATAATTATTTATTAAAGCTCATCTCAAAATAATTTAAACTTATTTCAAAATATATTACTTGAACTTAATATAAATTTTCCTCCAATTTAACTTAATATTTATTCAGTCAAAATAAATATTAAATTATTAAGTAACAATATCATTAAATATCAATAATTTAATATTTATGTATTTAAACTTATTTCGAAATATATTATTTCAACTTAATTTTTTATTTATTCAGGCTCATTTCAAAATATATAATCTAAACTTATTTCATAATATATTATTTCAACTTAATATTAATTTTCATCCAATTTAATTTAATATTTATTCAGTCAAAATAAATATTAAATTATTAAGTAACAATATTATTAATTATTAATAGTTTACCATTTATTTATTTAAGCTCATTTCAAAATATATAATCTAAACTTCTTTCAACTTAATATAAACTAATATATAATTTCAACTTAACAGCAATTTTCTTCCAATTTAATTTAACATTTATTCAGCCAACTTAATATCTGTCATTTCTCTTTTTGTTTATTGCTTTAAACTAAAAATTTAAACTTTTTAAAGTTTAATTTTTTTATGAAACGAAAAAAAATTTGTAGCATAAGTTTTGAAATTTGTAAAATAATAATAATTGACAGTCTGCAAGTGTTCTCATTAAATTGTACTTCAAACATTTGGCTGTCATTTATTTTTTTAAAATTAAAAATTTAAATGTAAGGAAAAAGATTTCCGAAATTTGCTCATTTCTAACATATGTGATATGTTGAGCATATATCATTCATATTTCACATTTTTCAAAATTGAAATGAAAAATTACAGATATTATTAAAATTCAATTTCAAATTCGAATATCTTTTAAACCCTTTGAATAAAATAATTAGGAAATTTATTAAAACTATTAATTAATTTTAAAATTTAATTGTTTTTAATGCTTCGAAAATTATTTTCAATCAAATGCATTAATTGAATTCAAATGAGTAGTAGATTTTTAAATTTTCACTCATACAAATTTGAAATAATAATTGAAACAATATCAATAGAGTATGAAGCATTAATTAAAAGAATATTAATAAAATTTGAGGCATTAATTAAAACAATTTGTAAGCATTAATTAAAATAATATTAATAAAATTTGAAGCACTAATTAAAACAACATTAATGAAATTTGAAGCACTAATTAAAACAATATTGATAAAATTTGAGACATTAATTAAAACAATTTGAAGCATTAATTAAGACAATATTAATGAAGCATTAATTAAAGCAATATTAAATAAATAAAATATGTATTATTATCCCATAATAGTTCAAGTAAGTAAATGAACTGAACAAAAATGGTAATGAAATTTCAGCATTTTTTCCGGAAAAAATAAAATCCGTTACATATAAATAAATAATTGCTGCAAAAATATTCCAAATAACAGAAACGGAATATAACATTTTAGTGTTTTTCCGGAAAAAATAAAATCCGTTACATATAAATATATGTCTGCTGCAAAAATATTCCAACAGAAACGGAATATAACATTTTAGTGTTTTTCCGGGAAAAAACCAAAATCCGTTACATGCAAATAAATGTCTGCTGCAGAAATATTCCAAATAACAGAAACGGTATATAACATTTTAGTGTTTTTCCGGAAAAAAACCAAAATCCGTTACATACAAATATACATTTGCTGTAGAAACGGTAGCAGAAACGGTTTGTACTAACAAAAACGGTATATGATATTTTGATGTTTTTTCCAGTTATAAATATGATTTGCTATAAAATATTTCAAATAATCAAAATTAAATTTTGATAACTTTAAATCATTTTTTTTTCGCTGCAAAAATATAATAATTAATAATTTAATAATAATTAATAATAATATCAATAGTTTATAATAACTAATAATAATTTATAATAATAATAATAATATAATAAACATAATACTTCATTTTCATATAACATATTTTAATGATAATCTCTTTTAACCTTTGCTCTATTAAAATAATTTTCGCAAAATAAATTCGTAATTTTTGCAGATTCTAATGTAAATTCACAAGCGATGATTGAATTTATCTTTCGAACAAAATTGCCGAAAAGTAGCAATAATGATTGTTGTTGTAGTAGTAGTAGTAGTAATAGTAGCGGTGGTGGTGGTGGTATGGATAGAGTTATAGCTACTGCTAATGGTGATGCTATTGGTTGCTCAATTCTTCGTAGATCGATTGCGGATTTTTCACAAGCAGATAGCTATGAAAATTTCGACAAAGAAGAAGGTAAGTGTAGTGATTTTGTTGAAAACTGCAAATGTTATAATGTTTCATTCTTCTTCACTCTTACCAAATCATTTAGCTATTTTATTTATTTTAATTAAATTTAATTTTTCTGAAAAAAAAAAAACCATTAATTTATTTATTTCTGATAGTTTAAGATAATTAAAAAAATTTTTTGAAAATTAAATTTTTGTTTATTTTTGATTTTCGTTTTTTTTAAAATTTAGGATTGTTTTTTTTTTCCATCTTTTTTTACGACAAAGTTGAAAATTTCTTTGTATGTTATAATAATAAAGTATTTAAAATATTATTGGTGAAATTTTTAAGAGATTCAAATAAGTTATATATTTTTTATTGATCGATAATTATTCGTATAAGTTATATATTTTTTATTGATCAATAATTATTCGTATAAGCTTTATATTTTTTATTGATCATTTATTACTCGTATAACTTATATATTTTTTATTGATCATTAATTATTTGTATAAGTTATATATTTTTTATTGATCAATAATTATTCGTATAAGTTATATACTTTTTATTGATCATTAATTATTTGTATAAGTTATATATTTTTTATTGATCAATAATTATTCGTATAAGCTTTACATTTTTATTGATCATTTATTACTCGTATAAGTTATATATTAAGTTATATACTTTTTATTGATCATTAATTATTTGTATAAGTTATATATTTTTTATTGATCATTTATTACTCGTATAAGTTATATATTTTTTTTATTGATCAATAATTATTTGTGTAAGTTATATATTTTTTTATTAATCAATAATTATTTGTGTAATAAATTATATAATTTTTATTGATCGATAATTATTTGTTCGATTAATAATATTTAATTTTTATTTTTTATTTTTTGCTAAAAAATATTAATTTAATTAATTCAGACAAAATTAGAATAACAATTTTTGTATGAGTAAAGATATTGCAAAAAATGTTTTATTATCTTAATTCTTATTAATATTTCCCTTATTATATGAGTAAATAAGGGATTGCAAAAACATTTCATTATCTTAATTCTAACTAATAATTCCCTTATTGTGTAAGTAAATAAGGAATTGCAAAAAATGTTTTATTATCTTAATTCTTATTAATATTTCCCTTATTGTATGATTAAATAAGGAATTGCAAAAACGTTTCATTATCTTAATTTTTATTAATATTTCCCTTATTATATGAGTGAATAAGGAATTTGCAAAAAAGCTTTATTATCGCAATTATCTTAATGTTTCCCTTATTGTATGAGTAAATAAGGAATAAATAAGGAATTGCAAAAAAAGCTTTATTATCGTAACTATTTTAATGTTTCCCTTAATGTATGAGTAAATAAGGAATTGAAAAAATTCATATTACCTTACTTATTTTAATGTTTAAAAACAAAGAAGGCAAAAAGTAAATCTTTAATTTAGTGCTAATTTTTTTCTACCTTTTATTTTTACATATAATTAAGTAAATTTATAAAAATAAGTTAACTTTAGAAATCGATTGATTATTTATTTATTAAATGAATAAATATTTACTTAAGCAAATATATTAAAAAAAAAATGTTTACTTAAGTAAACATATTAAAAAAATATGTTTACTTAAATAAATATACAAAAAAAAAATAATATTTACTTAAATAAATAACAAAATAAACAAATTCTTCCTTTCTTTCATAAATCCAAAGAATTTCGTTTTTTCCTTTCTTTTGTTCTTTTCTTAAATTACTAAATTTAATATTTTAAAGTTTAAATTTAGACAAAAGTTATTTATCCCTTTTTTTTCAAATGATTTTCATAGAGAGAGAGAGAGAGAGAGAAGAGAGAAAGAGAGAGAGAAAACAGAAAACATCATTTGAGAATGATTTGTATTTTTTTGTGGGCAGAGATAAATTCAGACTTTAAAAATGCCAGCTTCAGTAAATGTTTTTCCTTTAGCTCATCATCTCTTTCATCTCTTTGAACTTTTTCTTTTTTTCCTCTCTCTCTCTCTCTCTCTCTCTCTCTTTCATTCATCTATCATTTTTTTCTCTCTCCCTCTCTTTCTCTTTCTTCTCATTTAATCTTTCAATCTCTCATCGTTTCTCATCTAACAGAAATTTTATTTTTAACATTTTATCATACTTCTTCTTCACCAGAGAAGAAAGCAAATGTTCGAAATGTAATTGCTAAAAACTTGTTACAACACACATAATGATAGTGGTGGTGGTGGTGATGATGGTGATGATGGTGGCAGCAGTAGTAATGGTGATGATAGTGGTAGTGATGGAAAAAAAATTTTTTTTAATTTCACTTTTTTTTCGGCTTAAATTAATTAATTGATTGATTAAATTTAAAATATGTGAAAGCTTCGGTGCCATTTTTGTTTTTGTTTTAAATTTTATTTTCATATAGCATTAATTGTTTTTTTTTTTTAGGTTTTCTTTTTTTGATAATTTGAATATTTTCCTTTTCAGAATTTTAGTATTGTAAAATGGAAATGTTTGATTTAAATCCATTCTAAATCTTTTTTTTCCCTAAAAATTTTAGACATTATAAAATATACCCTAAAAATTTTATATGTAAAAGGAATAATTTATCCATTCTAAATTTTTTTTCCCTAAAAATTTTAGACATTATAAAATATAATAAATGTTTGGAATAATTTTCCTTTTAGAGTTATTTTTACAATAAAAATTTCAGTATTGTAAAATGGAAATGATTAATTTAAATCCATTCAAAATTTTTTCCCTAAAAATTTTTGATATAAAAGATTAATTTATCCATTCCAAATTTTTTTTTCCCCTAAATATTACCTGTATGAATTATAAATTTTCAAAAAAAAAAAAAAAAACAAAATAGCCACGTGTCGATGAGATAAAATGAATTATTAGGATAATTTTGAAAAAAATAAAATATAATTAATATTTTGAATATTTAAATATTTTCCTTTTAGAGTTATTTTTGCAAAATAAAAAAAATTTCACTATCATAATGGTAATGATGATTTTATCCATTTCAAATTTCTTCCCTAAAAATTTCATAATATGAATTATAAATTTTTCAAAAATAGCTATATGATGAATATGAGATAAAATGGATTATTAGGATAATTTTGAAAGAAAAGATTACTTTGAGAAAAATTTTTAAAAATAACTTTTTTCTTCTTTTTTTAAGGATTAATCGATTGATATTTCAAATTTAGGAATGTTTTAATGAGAAGTATTTATTAGATTGATAGTTTTTGATAATTTTATTAATTAAGCGGATTTTAATAAAGTATTTAATTATTTAATTCAATGTATGTCGTATTTAATTTAATTTAAATACATTAAATATTTAATTCAATGGGTTTTAATAAAGTATTTAATTATTTAATTCAATGTATTTAATAGGGTATTTAATTTAATGCATTTAGTAATTAATTCAATTTATTTATTAGATTGAATTATGTATTGGGAAATAAATCAATGATTTAATATAATTAAATTATCGCTACTTAAAAAGATATTTTGAAATTAAAATAATTGGTGTAATTAACAAAAACAAAACAAAACTACATAATTCAATTAAACATATTTCATTTCGATTAATATCAAATACTGGAAAATATTGTATAAATCGTTGAAAAATTGAAAATTGATGAAAATTTTTGATAACTTTTTTTTGTTCATATATTTTAGAAAAGTATTAATATCAAATATTGGTATTAAGCAATGAAAAATTACTTTCAATTTTAATCTTTTGTTTTTTCTTTATACTATTATTACATCATATAATATATAATATATATTATATTTGTTAAAAACATAAATTTAACTATTTTTTGTTTTAAATATAAAATTCAATTTTTTTTTCTATTGATATATTATCAATGAATACAATCGATAATATGGTGTATTAATAATATTTTTAGTAAAAGTATAAAATTTGTCTAACATTTATTTCTTTTCCCTCAGTAACTGTATCAGACATCATCGTCATCATCGTATCATCATCATCATCATCACCTCATCATCATCGTATCATCATCATATCATCATCATCATTATCACCTCATCATCATCATCATCATCATCTCATTTGTTGAAATTTCCGAGAAATTTTTAGTAAAAAATATAAAATTTTTTCTAATATTTCTTTTCTCCTGAATAACTGTATCAGAAGACATCATCAACATCATCATCTCATCGCCATCATCTTATTTGTTGAAATTTCCGAGAAATTTATAGTAAAAATATAGAATTTCTCCAATATTTCATTTTTCTCTCAATAACTGTAACAGACATCATCAACATCATCATGACGATCATCATCATCTCATCATCATTATCATCTCATTTGTTGAAATTTCCAAGAAATTTTTAGTAAAAATATAAAATTTCTCCAATATTTCTTCTCCCCCTCAATAACTGTATCAGACATCATCATCATCATCATCATCATCATCATCATCATCGTATCATCATCATCATCATCGTATTTGTTGAAATTTCCGAGAAAGAAAATGCTTTTTTTAAAAAAAAAGAAGAAGAAACCGGCTTTCTTTTTTTAAAACTTTTTGTTTGAACTGAAATACGATAGCAAGCAATTGGTAATAAAGTATAAAACATATATTTCATTTCGTACATTCCATCTTCTCAATTATTGATTGGTTTTTAAATTTGTAAAACTTCCGATTTGTTTTGTTTTGTTTTTCGCTTCTTATCCCTTTTGTTTCTCTTTCGGTTTTTTGAAATCGTACCTTTTCAAATAAACAACGCATAAATAATTATTGTTCAATAATTGTTGTTAAATAGTTTTTGCAAATTTAAATTTGAATTTTGGATTAATGACGGATTTCTTTTACGTATATATTTTCAAATGCAATTAAAATGAGAATGCTAAAAAATTTAGGTGTGAAGATTTAATTAGCGTAATTAATTTAATAACAATTAGTTTTCTTTTTTTCTCTATCGGTTTTTTAGCCGTACCTTTTCAAATAAACAACGCATAAATAATTATTGTTCAATAATTGTTGTTAAATAGTTAATTTAAATTTGAATTTTGGATTAATGACAGATTTCCTTTACTTATATATTTGCAGTACAGTTAAAATGAAAATGCTGAAAAATTT